CGCAGCCCGGAACTCCTGATCATGACTCGTCCCATTCAGAACCTACTTTCGGGGTCTCCCCCTTGGAGCCCGGCGGGAAGCGGAGGATCCAGAAGTTGCGGTTCTTGAGCAGGTTCTCCATGTTCTCCAGCCGCCGCTGCAGCAGGCCGTATTCCTGAATGAGGGTCCCCAGCGCGGCCCACTTGCTCTCCAGCTGCCCACCGATCTCCACCGCCGTTTTCTCGCAATCCAGAATCTTCTTCTCGGCGCTTCCCGTTCTGCCTTCCAGGTCCAACAAGCGGGCGGTGTGCGAATCCACCTTCTTCTCCATGGCTTGGAAGGAAGCCACCAAGGTCAGGGCGATCTCGGCCGCCTGGTCCTCCCGGTCAAAGAGTTGGTCGGGATCGGTGATCGGCGGCGGCGGCAGGAGCGACGCGGCCGCTGCATCCCGTCGAGACGCCTGCTGAGAGAGGCACGGTTACGACGCCACACCGACGCCCCGTCGCTTGGACGCCGCCACGTCATCCCCAACCCTGCCGCTACACTGGACAGCTCGTCCTCGACTTACGACCGTTCGCTTCGTGACCGTTCCCGCTTACCACGGTGACTTAGAACCGTTTACAGTTCGTTTAGTGACCGTTCGATGTTACGCCACTAAAAAAAAGTGACTTTAGACGATTTTTCACACAACCGTTGCAGCGTCCACGGATTCACGTGATCAAAATTCGGACGCTCGGCAACCGACTCGTATTTATGATGGTCGCAGCATCCTCGGGGTCATGTGATCAAAATTCGGACGCTCGGCAACCAACTCGTATTTACGACGGTTGCAGCATCCTGGGGTCACGTGATCGAAATTTGGATGCTTGGAAACCGATTCGTATTGATGACTTACGACTGGGTCCTCGCGCTTACGACTGTCGCGGCATTTAAGGTTTCTGTCCTTAAACAGGGAAGACTAAACAATTATTAATTATGTTGAGGAATCCATCTCGGCTTAATAGCCAAAGGAAATTAATTTGAAAGCTACATTCGTTTTCTTTTTCTTTCTTTCTTTCCTTCTTCCCTTTCTCTTTTCCTTCCTACTTTCTTTTCCTTCCTTTTCTCCTTCTTCCTTTTCTTTCTTCCTTACTCTATTTACTTCCTTCTTCCCTCCCATCCCTTCTTTCTTTTCCTTTCTTCCTACTCTTCTCCTTCCTTCCCTCCCTTCTTTTGTTTCCTTTTCTCCTTCCTTCCTTCCCTTTCTTCTATCCCTTCCCTTTCCTTTCCTTTCTCTTTTCTTTTCTTTTCTTCCTACTTTTTCCTTTTTTCCCTCTCCTTCTTTTCCTTTCCTACTCTTTCTTTTCCTTCCTTCCCTTTCCTTCCTTCCTTCCCTTCTTCCTTCCTTCATTTACTTCCTTCTTCCCTCCCTCCCCTTTTGTCTTTTCCTTCCTTCCTTTCCTTCTTCCTTCCCTTTCTTTTTCTTTCTTTCTTCCTTCTTTCCTTCCAACATTCTTTTCCTTCCTTCCTTCCTTTCCTTCCTTCTTCCCCCTTCCTTTCTCTTACCCTTCCTTCCAATTTTCTTTTCCTTCCTTCTTTTTCTCCTTCTTCCTTCCTTCATTTCCTTCCTTCTTCCCCCTTCCCTTCCTTTTCTTCTCTTTTCCTTCTCTTTTCCTTCCAACTTTCTTTTCCTTTATTCCTTTTCTCCTTCTTCCTTCCTTTCTTTTTCTTTCTTCCTTCCTTCTTCCCCCTTCCCTTCCTTTTCCTTCCCTTTCTGTTTTCCTTCCTTCCAACTTTCTTTTCCTTCCTTCCCTCCTTTCTTCCCTCCCTTCCCTTCCTTCTTCCCTTACTTCCCTTCCTTACTCTTCCCTTTCTTTTCCTTCCCTCCTTCCTTCCTTCTTCCCTCCCCTTTCTCTTCCTTCCTTTTCTACTTCCTTCCCTCCCTCCTTCCTTCCTTCCCTTCCTTCTTCCTCCTTCCCTTCCTTTCCCTTTCCTTTCTTCCAACTTTCTTTTCCTTCCTTCCTTCCTTTTTTCCTTCCTTCCTTCCTTCCCTCCCTTCTTCCTTCCTTCATTTACTTCTTCTTCCCTTCCTTCCCTTCCTTACTGTTCCCTTTCTCTTTTCCTTCCTTCCTTCCTTCTTCCCTCGTCTTTCTCACTTCCTTCCAACTTTCTTTTCCTTCCTTCCTTTTCTCCTTCCTTCCATCCCTCCTTCCTTCCTTTCTTTTACTTCCTGCCTTCCTTCCTTTCCTTCCTTCTTCCCCCCTTCCCTTCCCTTCCTTTCCCTTTCCTTTCTCTTTTCCTTCTTTCCAACTTTCTTTTCCTTCCTTCCTTCCCCCCCATAAATAGCCCCCCCATCTTTATGGGGAGGGGTCCTTAATCACAGCCAGGCTCCGAATAGTCTCCCTGCCAGGCCCCAAGAAGGGCGGCAGGCAGTAGCCTAGCCTGGGCACCAGTGTGTGTGTGTGGGGGGGGGCAAACTCTGTCCTAGTGTCCCCCAACATTATAGGGGGGGCTCCCTAGTCCCAGCCAGGCTCGGGGGGGGTGACCCCTCCCTGTACAGTCTCCCTGCCAGGCCCCAACAAGGACGGAAGGCAGTAATCTAGCTTGGGCACCAGTGTGTGTGTGGGGGGGCAAACCCTGGCATAGAGACTGGCATATCCCCCCATATTTTATTGGGGGGGGTCCATAGTCCCAGCCAGGCTCTGGGGACACCCCCCCCGCCGTACAGTCTCCCTGCCAGGCCCCAAGAAGGGCGGCAGGCAGTAGTCTAGCCTGGGCACCAGTGTGTGTGTGTGGGGGGGGACAAACCCTGGCATAGAGACTGGCATACCCCCCATCTTTATCCCCCCAACATTATGGGGGGGCTCCCTAGTCCCAGCCAGGCTCTGAGGTGACCCTCCCCCTGTACAGTCTCCCTGCCGGGCCCCAGGAAGGGCGGAAGGCAGCAGTCCAGCCTGGGCACCCATGGGGGGGCACACTCTGGTTTAGGGTCCCCCCCAACATTATGGGGGGCTCCCTTAGTCCCAGCCAGGCTCTGGGGCGACCCCCCCTCCACCGTACAGTCTCCCTGCCAGGCCCCAAGAAGGGTGGCAGGCAGTAGTCCAGCCTGGGCACCAGTGGGGAGGGGGCACATCCTGGCTTAGGGTCCCCCATCTTAATTGGGGGGGCTCCCTTAGTCCCAGCCAAGCTCTGGGGCGACCCCCCAACCCATCACCTTACAGTCTCCCTGCCAGGCCCCAAGAAGGGCGGAAAGCAGTAGTCCAGCCTGGGCACCAGTGGGGGGGCACACTCTGGCTTAGGGTCCCCCCAACATTATGGGGGGCTCCCTTAGTCCCAGCCAGGCTCTGGGGCGACCCCCCCTCCACCGTACAGTCTCCCTGCCAGGCCCCAAGGGCAGAAGGCAGCAGTCCAGCCTGGGCACCCGTGTGGGGGGGGCACACTCTGGCTTAGGGTCCCCCCAACATTATGGGGGGGCTCCCTTAGTCCCAGCCAGGCTCTGGGGCGACACCCCCCCCCTCCGCCGTACAGTCTCCCAGCCAGGCCCCAAGAAGGGCGGCAGGCAGTAGTCCAGCCTGGGCACCCGTGGGGAGGGGGCACATCCTGGCTTAGGGTCCCCCCATCTTTATTGGGGGGCTCCCTTAGTCCCAGCCCGCCTCCCCTCCCCACAGGACAGTCTCCCTGCCGGGCCCCAAGAAGAGTGGCAGGCAGTAGTCCAGCCTGGGCACCAGTAGGGGGGGGCAAAGAGGGGGGGCACACCCTGGCCTGGGGAGCCCCCCCACATTATGGGGGGGCTCCCTAGTCCCACCCACCCCCTCCCCTCCCCACAGGACAGTCTCCAAGGGGTCAGCCAGCTGCAGCAGTCCAGCCTGGGCCAGTGCCCCCCCCAGCGGAGAGGGGGGGGCGGCATATCCCCAGCCTGGAACAGCCGGCTCTTCCTTCCCCCTTCCTCACCCCCCTCCGCCGCTCCTCCCGGCTCGAATCCCCGCGGCTCTTCCCGGTCGCTCCCCCCCCTCCCTCCGCGCCTCCCTCCCTCCCTCCC